CAAACTAAACATGAAAATTCCCTACACATGAATTTCAAATAATACAAAGCTAAACGGATTGTTTCACAACATCTTTAATTTAATGTTTTTAACGAAACTTTAACAGGTAGCAATAGGTTAACTGTACTGGGCCATGGTCAGCTGTACGCCCTCTTCTATTTCGAGCATCTAGCGGAACTCAACAGGCTATGCGGTATGTCTTTCACTTCATCAATATTTAACAGTGTTGTTTTTTGTTATGCTACACAAAGTGATATCTGTGCTCTGCCGACCAGGGGTATCAAAACCCTGTTTCCAGGGGTATAAGTCCACAGACATACTGCTGTGCCACTAGGAGGCATTTAAAAGTGAAAATGAAGTTTTTGTTGATTTTACAAATTAAATTGAACAATAAGAAATGACCAAGGCTTCAGTAGCATTGTACAGTTCGGAAAAATGGGGTCAAAAGTTCATACAAATGTTTCTGTTCTTTTTATTATCTCGTACGTAGACTTATTTTTCGTACGAACGAGATACCACCATTACTTTTTTTAATTTTCCACCTTGCGGTCTCCGGTTTCCGTAAAAAAGGTCATAGGTTAAAATATACTTTGTCCCCGTAAAAAAATAAGGTACAGTTGTTACCCCCCCCCACCACACACACATATACACATCAAATTAAGGTACAGTTGTTACCCCCCAACCACACACACACACACATATACACATCAAATTAAGGTACAGTTGTTAACCCCCCCCCCACCCACACACACATACACATCAAATTAAGGTACAGTTGTTACCCCCCCCCCATATACACACATACACACATCTACAGTATATACATTGGAGCTTTTGATAATGTTGTCAGTGGCTCTGGTTTAGCCTCGTTAAAGTGTTTTTTTTTAAATCAGTTAAAAGTAACAAACACAAGTTTTCAAAGGGTGAATCCATGAAAGAGTTCAGCTCTCTAAAATTTAGTTTTCGATAAATAACTTTGTTTGTTTGTTTGCTATTAATCACAAAGCAACACAATGGGCTATCTGTGCTATAACTATCATGAGTTACGAAACCTGATTTTTAGCGTTATAAATCCATAGATTTATCGCTGAGCCACTGGA